GTCCGGATCAACGATTGTATGAAATATACTTATTCGAAATCCATTCTCGTATTTAACTTATTTAATTCCATTATTCATTAACAGAAGTGAATTTGATAGTTATGTACGAGGGTAGTCCGAATGTATATCACGATAATAATCGTTCACACAATCCAACTGGACTCAGATACCGGGTCACCTAGGTTGATGAGCCAATCGAAACCCCATCGATAACATAATCGTCCGATCTAATTTGTTTCAAAATGAAGTGCCTTATTAGGACTAGACCAGAATTTAGAAATAACATGCTTACACAAACAAATATTCATGGTAATTTTTATGATTACAACTTTAAATAGTGCTAAGTAGATGTAAATTGATTTAAGATACAAAATAAAAATATTGCAAATATATATGTGATGTGCAAGAACACTGTACAATATAGATGTTAACTTCACACCAGTGAGCTAGGAACAAACGCTAATAATATGTAAGAATGAAATAATAAGGGGATATTTCAGTAGTTGAGATCATGAGTCAAATGAAATTAGACCACCATGGAAAACCCGGAAGCACTGGTTGGCCGTTTCGTCCTACTATGAGACTCTTCAGTAGTGTGCATCCACAACCTTGATCCCTGTGTGATTCGAACCCAGGACCTATTAGTCTCACGCGCGAGCGCTTAACCTCTTGACCACTGAGCTGGTCGGCATCCAACGGTGTTAATGTCTAATTTTAACCAGTTCACCAGTGGAGTTAAACCGGGTCTTTTGTGAGATGGTAATTCACTGATGATAATGATGGACGATGTCAAGACTTCTTATATTGGTTGAATTTAGACATTAACAGCATTGGATGCCGGCCGGCTCAATGGTCTAGTGGTTAAGCGCTCGTGAGCAAGACTGACAGGTATGGAAAAAAGAGGCATGAAGAATTCAGAGGATTAGAATTTGAGAGAACACAAAGAGTGGATGTACCTGCGTCACCTGAGCGATTTCATTCAAGGTCTCTAACCATCGGTCGCTATCGTTTTATACTTTTTAGCTTAATTTCTTTCATGTTCTTTCTTTCTTATGTATTTTACACTATACTACTGAATAATATTCATTAGTTAATGTTACTAGTAGTCATTTTGAAACTTGTAGTGGTGAGACTATTATTTATGGACATCCTTAGAGCGATGCCTAAGTGACCCTGAGAATGTCCACACACGAGCTATGGTTAAATGAGGGTTTTAAACCTGTGTGAAGGATAAGGATTTACAGTTGATGTTTAGGGATACGGATCAGACTAAGGGTTTTCATCACGAACTGACGTCTGCTAAAATGCCAAGACGCTATTTAGCCAAATGGATAAAGAATGTTGAAATCCTGTTTTTTTAACATTAACACCATTGGATATTGGCTCAGCAGTCTAGAGGTCAGGTATTCACATGTGGAACAGAAAGTACTATATTCGAGTAGTGAGCGTGGGATCGTCGATGAGCACTGTTGAGAAGTCCAATACTAGGACTAAATAGCCGTCCAGTACTCCCAGGTTTTCAATGGTGGTCTAACAATGATTGATACTCTCTATGTTTTGAATAAGTACACAAATCCTTGGGGTAATTAACATTTCTATCCATAATTGTTACGTAATGAGGCACAGATTCGTGAATACAACATGCTCAATGAATCGAATTTACCTCACATCAAGAAATCAGAACTTAAAGAGAGTCGTGAGGTAAACAGATCTCCACTTTTTCCTGTACATATGACCCACCATTATATGATTTTGCGTTTTTTTTTCTTGTTCCGGTTTTCTAGAACTTTCTCTGTTGTTCTTAAACATGAGCATGCCATGGTCATCGAGTTAACTAATTTTAAGCTTATATTCTTTTTCTTAACCTATGATCCTATACAGTTAGTCTTTTATTGATAATGCGTAACTTCACTAAGTGACTCTTCGACATTAGAAAACTTCAATATGGTTGCATCGGGTCTATCTTCAAGAAGTTTAATTTGAAATTATAAGATGCTTAATTAGAATCATAATAGTGAAAACTTCCATTTTGACATTTGGTAAATTAAGAAGAAACGAATCGAGCGAAGAAATTTCTTTTCAATTAGTTTATCATCATGGTAATGTGGGTACCCGATGAAATTCATCGACAAACACATGGAGGAGATGAAAAGAAGAACAATGATACCTACAGTTTCTAAGAAAGTATTGTTCATAAAATTACAATTCCTAAAAGACACTATTGAGGAAATTGCGACTTAGAGACTAAGAAAAGCGGTACAAAAAACATTTATTGCAGCCTGTATAAGTGCTATCTTCTGCCACCACCCCACAATAAGAACGGCCAATAAAGACAGGTTGCCTGAATTCGCTAAATCCATGTGTATTTATCGATTCAACTGCTCCTATGGAGTTAGTTATATAGGGCGTACAATTCGGCAAGTTCGTCATCGTATAACAGAGCACTGTCCATCGTGGTTGAGTAAAGGACAGGTAAGAGTGATTAAGAGTTCTATTCTCGCTCACTTGGTTGACACAGATCATCAAGTTGAACTGAATACAGCTTTTAAGGTTATCCACCATATTCCATCAAATTTGCCACATGGTTTATGGGTGCGTCTTTTGCATATTGCTGAAGCCATCGCAATCCAAGTTCATAAACCTAACCTTTGCATCCATAAAAAGTTTGTACAACCAATTTCACTACCTTGACCATCGGTATAGGGTCGTTTATAGCAGAACCGTTTTTGCACTTCTTCCATTTTTTGTTTGTTTTTTTGAATTTTGTATTTTTTGTCAACATTCATCTGTTGATGCTTACATAACTACTATTCTACTGACACTTCATTAAAATACTCAGTTCCTTCTCTTTTTCATATATTATGAAACATAGCAACTGCTCGATATTTCAATAATTACTTTGATTATTATTAATCCTCTTTCTTCCACTTACTCAATAGTAATTTATAACCGATATTTCATTATGTCATTACTGCGTAACGTATCCTTACTTACTTACTTACTTACTTACACCTGTTACTCCTAATGGAGCTTAGGCCGCCGACCAGCATTCTACAACACACTCTGTCCTGGGACTTCATTTCTAGTTCTATCCAATTCTCGTTCATTTCTCTCATGTCTATCCCCATTTCTCGGTGTAATGTGTTTTTTGGTCCTCCTCTTTTCCTTTGCTTAGTATTGAGGATTCCATGTGAGGGCTTGTCTTGTGACGCAGTTGGGTGCTTTCCTCAATGTGTATCCTATCCACTTCCAGCGCTTCTTCCTCATTTCTTCCTCCACTGGGATCTGTTTTATTCTCTCCAACAGTACGTTGTTGCTAATAGTGTCCGGCCAACGGATCCAAAGTATTTGGCGTAGATAACTGTTAATAAACACCTGTATCTTCTGGATGATGGCTTTCGTAGTTCTCCTGGTTTCTGCCCCATAAAGTAGAACTGTCTTGACATTTGTATTGAAAATCCTGACCTTGGTGTTGGTTGACAGTTGCTTTTAGCTCCAGATGTTCCTCAGTTGTAAATATGCTGCTCTTGCTTTGCCGATCCGCGCCTTCACATCTGCATCAGATACACCTTGTTCATCAATGATGCTGCCTATATATGTAAATGTTTTTACATTTTCTAAATCTTCTCCGTCAATTGTTACTGGATTGGTGCATGCTGTGTTGTATCGGAGAATCTTGCTTTTCCCTTTGTGTGTATATTGAGACCTACTGCTGTTGAGGCTGCTGCTACACTGGTCGTTTTCTCCTGAATTTGTTGTTGTGATTGCGATAAGAGGGCCAGATCATCTGCGAAGTCCGCCTGGAGTCCCTCCGGGGGCTACTGCCGGTCCCAAGCCTGGATAAAGGAGGAGGGTTGGGCATGGGGTTAGCGACCCCATCCCGTAGAAAACTAACTCGCTAAAAAAACGCGTAACGTATCCAGTCGATGAGTACTGTTTTATTATTGTATATATATATATATATATATATATATATATATATATATATATATATATATATATATATATATATATATATATGTAGAATCGTAATAACTAATAATGATCATTGATAAATTTAACCTAGAAAATATCTGGTACATTAATCACCTTAAAATCTGTTGCCATCATCAACAGTATCAACCTTTTCTTGTAATTAAACGACAGTTATCATTATTTCATCAATAATTCATTCATTAATTTCATTACTCTAAATCAATTATCATTTCAGAAGGGATTTTTTAATGTGGATATGATAGTAATTTTAATAGATGAAATCATCAGTCCATTAAGGAATGGAGAAGGTTTGTAGTTCAGGTGGATAGAGTTTGTACTACTGATGATATTATTTAGAAGAATGATAAAAACTTCACAACCAAACCATCCAAATCAGAGAAAAAATCTCTATCAAAATCAATTGAAGAGTCCTAAAATAGAAGAAAATATCTATCCAATACTTCCAGGTATTCCATGATGATCTAACTTCAATTAACTCATGATCTCAATTACCATTTGTTTAGATTATAGCAATTCATGTGCGATTGAGTTTGTTCTCATTTAACTCAATTAAGACCTTTTGTTAACTTATTTAGAGGACAAAGTCATCCATACTATAACAACTTATTGTGCCTCTATTATTGTTGTGCTTGTATGAAATATGTATGCTTGAACATTGTTTACCGCCTACTCATATATCCATTGTGCTAGCTTTATTATTAACGGCTTAATTGATTCGATGATCCATTCATTTCCCTATATATATACATGTGCATTTACACTCTACACTCTCGGTTCACTGATTCATTCATTTGTCTCTCCGCTTTGTGGTCTGACTTATCTGCTAATAAAACTGTAGTCGCTGCTTCTCTTTACCTTCTGATTTCAAACACCGTTAAGGATTATATGATAACGGTTACGAGGGTGAGTGGTCAACGATGCACAGCCACTACAAGATTATGTAATTTATTGATTTTATAAGTTAATTATTTATTTATTTGTTTTTGTTTTCTATTCATCAATAGATCCAAATATATACGCATCATTTGATGAATTCAGTATCAATGGTATGGATAATCAAAAGAATTTTATTAAAAATCAATCATCTTCACATAAAACTTCTGGTAAATTATGTGGTTGTTTCACAAGAAGATAATAAAGTGAGATATTTATTTGGAAGAAAGCATTTATTATAACAAATGAACATACTACTTACTTACTTACTTAACTGCTTACCTACCTACCTACTTACCTATCTAGCTACCTAGTTACCTACCTACTAACCTACTTACTCACTTGCCTATCTACCTACCTACTTACTTATCTGCTTACCTACCTACTTACCTACTAACTTACCTACTTACCTACCTATCAACCTCCTACTTGCTGACTTGCTTACTCACTTACTTACTTATGCCTGTTACTCCTAATGGAGCATAGGCCACAAACCAACATTTTCCAACTCGCTAAAAAAGCGCCAACTAGAAAAAACAATTCAAATGCACGTAGAAAATCTATATATTGATTGTTGAATTACTGGATTTGGGATTTCTTTTCTTCATTTGAACATGTAATGCATATACATAATTAACGTTTCCTGTTATTATTATTATTATTGTCATTGAGGTTAATCAATTGAATAATTCATTGTTATTTGATTAATTTAAAAGTTGAATTCATGAGTCCATTGAAGCTGGACCACCCTGGAAAACCTCAAAGTACTAGACGGCCATTTCGTTCTAATATGAGACTCTTCAGCAGTGCACATTCACAATCCCGCCACGCGAGATTTAAGACTGACAGATCCTGGTTTCGAATCTCGCGGGGGTGCATCGTGAATGAGCACTGATGAAGAGTCCCATAGTAGAACGAATCGGCCATCTAGTACTTTGAGGTTTTCCATGATTGTCTAGCTTCAATGGACTCATGAATTCAACTATTATCTTACTATAATATTCACAAAAACCCATCTTTGATTTGATTACTTGGTTGAGAAATGACTGTGATCATTTTTAATGATGTTTTAAAAATAATTGAGATATTTTGAAAAGTTTAAGTAATAAGATAGTAAATAATAGAGAAAATCTGTAGCTTAACTATATATATCTTCGTTAGCATTGTGTTACTAAAGGTGAATAATTTACTTACTAGGCTTCAGTGTAGATGCCATCGACCTGACTCCAAAGAATCAACAATTTGAGATTTCAAAAAGAACAAGAACAAAGATTGGTACAGTTTGTTTATGTATTTTTGGTAAACGAGATCCACGAAGTTGTAGATTATTGTAAGTGGAATTATCGATCATCATCTTCTTCAGGAGATCCCTGAATACTTTTGCGATTCCTTTTTTCAGCTGAATCAGTTAAGTGCTTGTTACTTTTATCAAACTTAAATCTCATGTGGTCACATAAAATGGACTTTATCTTAGAGACATAATCTGTTTTGTTCATTAGAACAACAGTTGAACCTTTATCTGACCATAATATCATTAAATCATCATTTCGCTTAATATTCCGTAATGCTTTTAGATGGTCTTTGGATAAAAGTTTAGACTGTTGTGTGGGTGAAACGAGATATTGGTTTGTGATATCAACTAATTTAGACTTAAACCAGCCTCTCTTCTCTCCACTAACTTCAATTTGAGTTTCCGTGTCGATTCTGTCGGTATGTATTTTAGGGATATGGAATTTAAATCCAAGCGATAAAGTTTCTGCACCAATCTTTGTTCTTGCTCTCTTTAAAGGAACTCTGTGTATGAAATTCGCGATTTTTTCACGATGTTTTATAAGTTAGATATTGTCGACCAACCACTTTTCCAACAATCAAAAATCAAAAATTGTGACGTCTAAGATCCAAATATTTCGATCTGAAAACAGAAAACGATCCAAAAAAATAGGGTTACATTTTATTGGGCTAAATCACTGTATTCTCCTGTATAGAATACGAAGATTCGTTGGGTCATTCATAGTTGACGAATATTTCTTAATGATATTAAAGTCTCGTGACTTCCGAAGAATTTTGGCTTTCATCCTAAGGCATCATAATTCTTCCTTCAGCTCCCAGGTTTAGTTTGTTTAGTCTGGTTGGTGTATTTTTAGCAAGATTTTCCTCTACATAATGGAATTGCCGACCCCATGCCCAACGTTTCTCCTCTATCCGTGCTTCGGACCGTCAAAAACTCCAGGAGAACTACAAGCGGAGTTAAAGCATAAATTGGTGCATGAATATTTATGATACTATTGAGTAATAATAAAGCATAACAAAATGTCCAAAATAATTCATCAATACTGTTGAATTATTACACAGTCAAATACTGAGAAGTAGCTAAAAATCAGAATTTTTATCTGAAGTAAATGTTTTTGGGTTCGGAAGTTGATGGGAGGTTGAAAATAGCAATCTGTTTATAATAATAGGTCATAAACCTAACGAAGGATCAAGGATCATCTTAAAAACCAGTACCAAACTATCTTCTTACTTCGTAGGAGAATCCATTTTCCTTTAACGAAATAAACATATGGAATGACTCAATTTCGGTTTTTCATTTCTGCCTTATGACAATCAGTGTGTTCACCACCACTACACTTCTGTCCATTTTTTTATTCTGAATAGTTAACTATGATCAATATAATGAGCTTACTTATGTTATTCAGTAACCACTATCAGTCTATGAGTGTCAAATACAGTTATGTGGTAATTTAACTCATAGCTTTACGTGAAAGCCACATAACCAGATGAATCTGTAACTTGAACTAACTTAACACAGTTATAAATCTCTTCTGTTACTTTCATACATTTGAAAGAATAAATAAACACTTGCTGGGCAGAGATACTTTTAGATTGTAGCGTGGAGTTGACTATGAACACCACTACAAGAAAACTATGTGCCAGTTAACCGATAAAATCCCCCGTAAGCCAAATACCAGAAGGCAGTTGATGGCTGTAGTCGAGATGTATTTGTTGGCGATCTCATGGTATCGAAAGGATACCGAGATCGTGCCAACGGAGTACAAGTGTGGTTACCGAGCGTAACCGAACCTGTGCAAGGTCACAATCAATCGAAGGATAATGGAGCAGTAAATTGGCTATCTTCACCACAACTTCGTGACCAACAGGCAGGATTCCGTAAGGACAGATCGTGTGCAAACCAAATCGCAACTCTACGGATCATTGCGGAACAATCAATTGAATGGAGTTCATCACTCTACATCAACTTCATTGACTACGTAAAAGCATTTGAAGGCGTGGACAGGACAACACTATGGAAGCTTCTTCGATACTACGGCGTGCCTCAGAAGATAGTCAATATCATGCGGAATTCCTGTGGTGGATTAAACTGCAAAATTGTGCATGGAGGACAATTGACAGACTCGTTCGAGGTAAAGACCGGTGTCAGGCAAGGTTGCTTACTCTCACCCTTTCTCTTTCTCCTGCTGATCGAATGGATCATGAAGACGTCAACATCTGAAGGGTAACACGGGATACAGTGGACTTCTAGGATGCAGTTAGATGATCTAGACTTCGCAGATGATCTGGCCCTTCTATCCCAAACGCAACAACAAATGCAAGAGAAAACGACCAGTGTAGCAGCAGCCTCAGCAGCAGTAGGTCTCATCACACAAAGGAAAAGCAAGATTCTCCGATACAACACAACATGCACCAATCCAATCACAATTGACGGAGAAGATTTGGAAGATGTAAAAACCTTTACGTATTTGTGCAGCATCATTGATGAACAGGGTGGATCTGATGCAGATGTGAAGGCGCGGATCGGCAAAGCATGAACAGAATATTTACAACATCTGGAGCTAAAAGCAACTGTCAACCAACACCAAGGTCAGGATTTTCAATACAAATGTCAACACAGTTCTACTGTATGGGGCAGAAAGCTGGAGAACTACGAAAGCCATCATCCAGAAAATACAGGTGTTTATTAACAATTGTCTACGCAAAATACTTCTGATCCATTGGCCGGACATTATTAGCAACAACGTACTGTGGGAGAGAACAAACCAGATCCCAGTGGAGGAAGAAATGAGGAAGAAACTCTGGAAGTGGATAGGACACACATTGAGGAAAGCACCGAACTGCGTCACAAGACAAGCCCTCCCATGGAATATTCAAGGCTAAGCAAAGGAGAAGAGGAAGATCAAAGAACACATTACACCGGGAAATGGAAATAGACATGGGAGAAATGAACAAGAATTGGATAGAACTAGAAAAGAATGCCCAGGACAGAGTGTGTTGTAGAATGCTGGTCGGCGGCCTATGCTCCATTAGGAGTAACAGTCGAAAGTAAGTAATTTTTAAGTAGGCACATTTAAACAAACGAGCACAGTAAAAAATCACTGGTACAATCTGTTATATTAATAATTGTTTCTATTATATCAATCGCGTTCTCTTGATAAAAGTAGGTCACCACAAGATGATAACAGAAAGAAGCTAAAGATAGACAGCTAATGACGTATTGGCACACGTATCAATCTCCATATGAGATGGATTGATAATTCACATTACCGATTGTTGATCTTCTAGGAGTTAAAATAGGCGACATGAAGTTTTATAATCAATCATCAGAAGAAATGAATAATTTTAATAAGGTTCAGGATTACTTTGATAAATTTCTAATAGTTGGTAGAAAAAAAGTAGCTGGATTCAGTAGAAGTTCAAGATTAAGAGGACCTTGACACGAGTTGCATCCTCTAGTTATTGAGAATTTGAAAGCGTGTGTTAATCAAGGTGACAGAAACTATTAGAAAAGCAATGTATAATAACAATGTGATGATACATGTATCTAAGCATTTTGTAGCTCCTCAAGTGTTCAAAGATACCTAAAACCATAATAATGTAAACAAGTTGTCATTAACAATCATATACATATGTCGTAAATCTATGTGAGTTGAAAAAAGACTTTTTAAATATACATCAGACAAAAATTTAGTAAACTTTTATGTAAAGAAACATTAACTTGTAATGACCTACTTCTATGAAGAGAATGCGATTGGTATAATAGAAACAATTATTATTATAACCAAATTGTACCATTGATTGTTTTACTGTACCTGTACCTCATAATCGAGTTAGTCGCCAAAAAAAGAGAAATGGTGAGAGTAAGCAACCTTGTCTGACTCCATTCCTCACTTGGAATGCGTCTGTCAGATGTCTTCCATGCACGACTTTGCATTGTAGACCGTCGTATGAATTTCGGATGATGTTAACGATCATCTCAGTAACTCAAACCATAGTGTCGAAGAATTTTTCATGATGTTTTCCTATCCACACTATCGCATGCTTTCTTACAGTCAATAAAACATTCAATTAATTATCCAACAATGATCCTTTGTGTCACGATTTGGTCTGTACGCGACCGATCCTTACGGAATCCAGCCTGTTTGTCTCGAAGTTGGGAGTCTACTACGTCTTTCGTCCTGGTCAGCAACACTCTGTTGAAGACCTTTCATTGTACTGACAGTAGTGTGATGCCTCCGTAGTTTTTACATTTGCTCAGATCTCCTTTCTTTAATACCTTGATGAATTATCCTTTTTCCAGTCCATTGGCTTTTCGTCTTCCTGCCAAATCTTCCTGAATAGAACGTGGAACATGTTTGCAGTTACTTCAATATCTGACTTCAATGCTTTAGTTGTTATATTTTTAGGTCCTTCTGCCTTCTCACTCTTAATTTGTCTGATGGCCATCCTAATCTCTTCGATCGTTGAAGGAGTGAGACCTATAGGAATGTCTGTGTGTGTTACTTCGATGTCCGGTAGATTCAGTGGAGCTGGTCTATTCAAGAGTTCTTGGAAATAATCTACCCATTTGTTCCTCTGTTGTTCAATCTCAGTGGTTGACTAGCCTTCTTTGTCCTTAACCGGCCACTCTCATCCATTATATTTCCCTGTCAGATTCCTCATTGTATCATACAGGTGATTTATATTTCTTTCTTGTCTTGAATTCTTTGAGTTCGTTAGTATATCGTAGGAGGGCTTTATTGAGCCTTTATACTGCTGTTTCCCCAGTTGATCAGTGTTTCTTTAGCTTCAGTTTTATCTTGGCAACCACCAATTTGTGGTGATCTGAAGTTGTGTCATCATTTCTCCCTGTTCTCACTTCTTGTATTGACCTTGTGAATTTTTTACTGATACAAATATGATCTATCTGGTTCTCCGTGTTGTGACCCGGCGAGATCCATGAACCACTATGTGTGGCTTCGTGGGTGAATCACCAGCCGGTGATCTTTGTTATCATGTCTTCCACTGACTTTCTGAACATTTCAGTGATGAATGATCTGGTTTTGTGTAGTGTGATGAGGTGTGAAACATATAGTTTAGTTTATGTGTTTGTTGAGTGATATTGTGCCGTTTATAACCATTTTCTTGAATGCGTATAAATTCGCAAATCTCTCCCCATTGCCGTGCCTTTATCTCAGTTCATATCGTTCCATGATATTTTCATATCCGGTGTTCTCCATTCCGACGTTTGCGTTCGGGTCTCTCATCAGGATGGTCAGGTCTTTTCCCGGGCATTTTATTATGGCCAAGTGCAGCCTCTTATAAAACTAGTATTTATCGCCTTCACTTCTATCACTGGTGAGGTCATAACACTGAATGACACTCATTATGATCCCCACTCTTACTTCGAAGCATAATCTAATGATTCTGGATCCATGAGATCACCGTCCTATAAGTGCATTTTAGGCTTCTTTGCACAGCATCAGAGCAACGCCTTGCGTGTGCAAAGTATTTTTTCTTCACGATCAGAGTATAACAACACCTTTCCCGAATCTAATCTTTTCTCTTCAGCTTCGATCCAATGGTTTCCAGTGATCCCGAGCAGCTTCAAGTTTTATCTTCTTATTGCCGTTGCTATTTCACTGGTCCTTATGGTTTCCCACATTGTATGGACGTTCAATCTACCAATAAGAGTTGCCAATTAACTTGTCAGATAAGGCACTGACCTTGTGACTTCTGAAGAACATCGGATTTTATAATGCAGCGTCATAGCTCTTCAGTGAACTCTGAGTGCGAATTTTGAATGATTTTATTTATTTATTTTGATTAGCGTTTTTTTAGAAAGGTTGAGTTTTACAGGTTGGTGTTGCTGACTCCGTGCACAGCCCCCTCGTTTACTCAGGCTTTGGACTGGCAGTAACCCTAGAAGGGCTACAGAAGGAGTTGAGGTATGGCATTGCTTAAAAAGAAACAACTAGAAAAGAGACTCGGATTAGAAAGGGAGCTTAAGATGTTAGTGATACAAGCTGAGGCTGGGCTTGTTAAATTAAAATGTAAGATTTGAAAGGAAGATAACCAGCTGCATATAGATAATGTTGATGTAAATACTAAGGTGGAAAGCAATATCTAGTGTATTACTGATTGTGGTTCTCGTTCTGGAGAACCACTCAGGATTCCGAAAAGCAAATGGGTCGATAAAATTAAGGTTACGCTGAATACTATGGTCAATGATGTTACTTTACCATGAATGGAAGCGATATATTTTGGACAACCTGGTTAATATAGCTGCTGCTGTGGATAAGTTTACTAGCACTGCCGGAAGTAAATTTTACAATGAAAGAAAACGTTCTTATATGTCGTACTACTGTAAAAGAAAGGCAGGGACAACTATTGAGGCCTGCATCCCTTTACCTAGTCACTTGGGTTGTGATAAAACGAGATACATTTTGTGTGATCTATCTGGAAGAAAACATTCATTTGCTCGCCAACTAATTATGGAGTCACTCAACCGTAAACCTGTTAGGTGTCCGACCGATGGCTTAACTGACTTTGCGACTAATCTACATGATATGTGTACAATATTGGAAAAAGGAATATATGTCCGTCTTGAATGTCTGCCACTGGATTTACAGAATAAGTGAACCGAATTAACCGATAAAAACACGATGGTTATTAAGAAACCTAACTTTGAAGAATTGATTTTCAACGTAAAAGGGCCACCGTTGCTCCAACACGGTATGGGGGATCGATACAACGTAGTCTGAAGTTTTATTAAAAAGGTTATGAGGGACAATTCGATAGGAGAGCACGCCTTAATGTAGGTACGCATGATAAGCAACCCATCTAAGTTTGTAAGTTGCGAGTTTTGACACGGTGGTTTTATGTCTTGTTAGTGGGGTTCAGTGCGATCCACGATGTTATTGATCAATGAATAAAAACGGTTGGGCTACTTTAACATAAATGATTCTCTTTGGGATCAATAACAACCATTTCTGCACAACACATCAAACCTCGATAGCTAAAACAGGAGACAGAATTGCAGGTGACATGATATTTGATGTGGGACAAGCAACATCATAGAACCGAAAACAATAGCTGCTACCATATTGGCAGAATATGATCTTCAAGTAGACAGCGATTCGGTGACCTAAAAAACGATGAAGACCCATCAGTGGGTAAAGGTCATGTGTGAAACCAAATTAACAGAAATTGTTCCAGTGTTTATCGTTTCTGAAGAGATTTTAGCATTTCCAATAAAATTTGACTGCCTTAACATGTGGTCAAAATGTGACGGACTGCAAGAAGTTGTCGAAAACCAGCGTCACGGAAAGGAGAGGGGAAGCAAAGTGAGGTGGTTTACGTAATGTGTTTGAGGAAAGGTCACATAACTAGATCATATAACCCGGTCTTAAAGTGTGACGTTGAGAATTGCAAGATTCCGCATCGTTCGGTGTTACATACTGATAGTAGTAAAAACCACGTACTAAATTTATCTAAAGAATGGAACTCAGTGAAGCTTTATTTTTGTATACTTATAGTCAAAATATATGATCTGGAGGGGAGTTTAGAAAGTTAACCCCTTCTGGATAGCGGTTCTGGCAATTCTATCTATCGCTCAGGTGAAATGATACTCTGAATTATCTGTTGATACTGAGTTTTTACCTTCAGTGACGTTTACTACAGAAGTGGGCTAAGATGGAACTGAGATATCTTTAAGAGATAAAGCCGAATTGGAAGCAGTTTCGTCACCTGGATATGAAAACCATACAAACTGTATGGACAAACAAAGTTCAGCTGACTTAAGTGTTTCTACGACGCTGGGATTTCACAAAAAAGATCTTTGGGAAATGGACGAGGTTGTTTTGGCACGCGTATCAATTACGACCATGATGGGCTTAATGGAAAATGTTAAAGGCGGTCCAGATAGTTGCTGGATTCAAATAGTGTAGAGATGATATAATACAACGCATGTATAAGGTAGGCTAACATGAACGTTGATGAGGAATATAAAAGTTCCTACCTGGGGGAATTGGCGATACACTACTACTAGATACGGAAGCTCGTAAATCGAAGGCTTCGTATATTCTGCCGGAACCATATGAGCCATGAGAACAGTTTCTATGGTCTTAAAAAATTTAATACCACTTGGTTCCGTCGATAATATATGTTTTCGGGCCGTTTGGAGAACTGATTTGGTCACTGACTGTTTTAGACTGGATGACAAAACTGAACGACTACCGTTAGCTTACAATGGACTAATAATGAGACAGTCTGTATTGACAGTACTGTGAAATATTGACGAAGATTCTTGGACTGCACCAAAAGCCATAAGGTGAAACGAGTCCACCTACGGCTATCTTTTTGTTTTCACGATGTCAGTTGCACTATAGTCAAATATTTAGTACCGCTAATACTAAATGAAGACTAAGACAACTTCTATTCTATCTATCCGTCGATTCTCTCAAAAGAAAATTGTATCATTTGAGAGACCACCATTGCCATGACTAACACAGGCCATCAAGCCTCCTATCTCTTCTGAAGTAAAACTGAAATATAATATATGATCCCGTAAAATCTGTAAGAAAACCATAGCCAAATCCCGTACTACTTACGAACGACAGTTATTATATGATAGCCGTACTTTTCCAAAACGACTGTTTTCGTATGTTAAACGGTGAATGAAACGTAGTGATGGTATTCCCCCGTTACTGTTACACGAAAATTCAGATTGACTAGCTGAATCAGATCGGGCAAAAGCTGATACTTTTTCAAACTATTTTAGCGAAGTCTACTCTACGTTTATAGTAACAAATACTTGTCCCACTCACACCGAGATACCAGCCATTGAATATGTACAGGTGACTGAGGAAACTGTCCTTCCGTTGATAACTAACCTCAAACCTGGTAAGACACCTAACCCTGACGGGTTACATTCACGGTTGCTGTCATCTCTTGCGGACATTATTTCAAAACCTCTTGCGACACTCTTCAACATATCCCTTTCACTCGCTCAACTCCCTAGAGATTGGGAAGACGCTCTAGTCAGTCCTATAAATTTAGGACGGTCAGAGACAGCTAGTATCTAACTACCGGCCTGTTAGTCTAACTAGCATAGTCGTTAAGTTACTTGAAAAGATAATTCGGGTTAGGTTGCTAAGCCATATAGATTTACACAATCTGTTAGCTCCTGAGCAACACGGATTTCATAATAAGCGTTCACGCTTGACTAACTTGCTTATTGAGAGGGAGGATTGGACAGCAGCTATAGATAACGGTCTGTCTGTTGATGTGATATTCATAAATTTTAGCAAGGCATTCGACAAGGTTTCGCACGTAGGTCTTATGCAGAAGCTCACGAGCTTCGGAATAATAGTTACTGTGCATGAGTGGATAGGAAATTTCTTATGTGACCGCAGACAGAGAGTGAGGGTCAACGGAACGCTATCCGATTGGAAGCCGGTCAAAAGTGGTGTACCCCAAGGCACCATCTTAGGCCCTCTGCTCTTCCTTCTCTACGTTAATGAGTTACCGCTGTTACTTAGGTCGTCGACATTATTGTTTGCGGATGATGTAAAAATCTGGAGAACAATAAAAAGTGCGGCTGATCATCTGGATCTTCAAGCTCACTTAGACGATTTGGTTAGATAGACTCGAGGTTGGGTCTTAGAAATCAATGCTAGGAAGAGTGTACTAATGCACATCGGTCACGGTAATAGTTACCGTCATACTATTGATGGTAAACCTCTTCCATGCGTTCAACTACGCATTGCAACGCAGCCACTATCAAAGGTTTTCGCGCGTCACGGTCACTTCACCGAGCCTTCAAATCTATTGATGAGGAAACGTTTCGAATTTTATATCCCACCTATGTAAGACCACACTTAGAGTACTGTATCCAAGCAGCTAGCCCATGTCTGGTAGAGGATACTAACATTTTGTTTAATTACGGCTCCTTATGGTTTAGTGGGATGTCACGGACGTATGGTATTGAAGCTGATTTATCACGCAAAATACCTCTTTAAATCGTGTTATGAACGTTGAATTGGTTTCACTTCCTACCCAGTAATCCTATTACAAGCAAACTAGACAATTCGCTAATATACGAAGCCCACTCAAGACCCTATAAAACCTGAATAAAACAAATAAAAAAACGAAAGGGGCTCTAATAACTTCGATAATAAAACGAAGATAGCCAGTTGTATATCACAATACTGTTTCTAGCATTATATTTTATTTTATAATCACACATAATCTTATACTCTCAGCTCTTTTCCGAATCGCCTCCATTTGTCAGTTGTATGTCCACTCACACCTTGCTGAAGCTTATTTTCTTTAACCTATTAAAATGCTCTTTCTTAACAAATACCTTAATAAAAGAAAATTAGACTGAGTAATCATGCCTTAAACATTCCTACATGAATATTGGCTACTCTGCCTCTCGTGTTTTCAGTCTTCAGTCTTCAGTCTTCAGTAATAAGGATAGTAGGTTGATGAACCTGTGTTAATCCTGACACATTGCTTTCCAGTGAAGGTCCAGCTTTTCCTTGAAAGTATTCACTGATGGGGCTGATACCACTTGTTCGGGTAAGGCGTTCCAATGATTGACTACTCGATGAGAAAAACGGGATCCCACTTTAAGTTTATTAGATCGTGGTTTATGAACCTTCTTGCTATGACCTCGGAGATTATTAGTGCTGGAGGGAGCAAAAAGATAAGACATATTAACACCCAAATCATAATTAAAGATACGAAATGCCAGTATAAG